TTTGAAAAATGTTTTTGAAGACCAATCCAATCTAGCCCAGATTCCCAGTATTATTAGCTGACTTTGATGATTTTGAATATTTACACAGATTGTCTGATTTTGATATGTATTATCTAATGTCAGCACTTTATACTTTATTTTGGTATTATAGTATTTTGTGAAAATAATGTATCTTTTCTTAGTTTTAAACAAAAAATTGAACAATCACTAAAGGAAGATTGTATGTTTCCATGAATTACTGAAAATGTAACTATAATGTTTTTATCATTTTGTTCTTTTTTAAAAGTTGTTGATGGTACGTGAGTGCACTGGCAAGGGCAACATTTACTGTGCATCCCTAGCCGCCTTTGACAAGATGGTGTGTTAGCAGAACAATGGGTACGTGGGGACATTATCACTTGCAAGTTCCCCTCCTTGGCACACATCATCTTGACTTTGAAATACATCTTTCTTTCTTTATTGTCACTGGGTGAACATACTGGAAATTCTTCTCTAGTAGCACTATGGGCTCACCTATATTACATGGATTGTAATGGTTTGATAATATGGCTTGGCTTCTGAAGTGAATTTACAAATAGGCAATAAATGCTGGTCTTATCATACATGTTCAGAAGGAATAATAAAAATAAAGCAAAAAAGATCTTGCAATTATGTTTTGATTCTACAAAATAGCAACCATAAGCTGTTCAAACTTTTACTGTAAAGAAGTTAAAGAGGGCACACACACACACATATCTATTGATCAAGACTTTGAACATTAGGATGTATCAGTTGAGACATGTTTGATAAATAAGGCTCCTATAAAATACAGAACCATTACTATAGCACATTGTAATACATTTTTGTGTTTCAAGATATTTTGTTCCACACTGTATGCAAAGAATCACTGTGATCAGAATGTATGTTACCTCCTTAAAAGTGAAAGTTCAAAGTGATGTTGGAAGATACAGATTTGCGCGACAACAAAAAAAATTCTCATGGCAAATGCATGTTTCAAACTATTTTACAACCAAGGAAACACTTTCAAAGTCTAATTCCAATTGTAATGTAAGAAGCGTGGCAGCCAACTTGTCACAGCAAACTCAGCAATGTGTTATTAACCAGATAATCTACATTTGTGATGTTCTGTGAGGAATAAATATTGGCCAGTACCCAGGGATAAATCCCCTGCACTTCTTTGAAACGGTGCCATGAGAACCTTTTACATCCACCCCAGCAAACAGATGTTGCCTCAGTTTAGCTTCTCATTTGAAAGAAAGCACCTTAGATTGTGCAACATTCCATCGCTTTTCCACTGGCATGTCAGCCTTGATTTTTGTGCTGATGCCCTAGAGTGGGATTTCAGTCCAGTGAATCAGAGTTGTGATTACAATCAGCTGCACTAGGGTTAACACACAGAGAAAACAAAAGTGCAATGTAACCTTTCATATCCATCGGAGACAACCTCAGTTTAAAATCTCATTCAAAAGACTGGACTCTGGACATGAAGTACACCTTCATTGCTGCACTGAAGCATCAGCCTAGGTCATATGATCAAGTCTCTGGAATGCCAATTCTGCCTGAAAATGTATGGTAACACTGCAAGGAGATTTTCCTGGTGGATGCTGAATATGCACAATATAGGAGCTGTGTCCAATATAATGATGGGGAGGCCACATCAAGATTCCAACCCGATTCATTTATTCTCAGCAAGTTGCAGGCAACAAACATGCATCTTGTTTCAGCTCATTGATCCAGTGATAAGGAAATATTGGCCAGCTAGATATGGATAGATGAAGAACAAGAACAGCAATTTGCCAGAAGACTTTTTTTTCTAGGGTCAGAGGAGCACCAATGCTCCAGAGATTCTCAAAATCTAGAGGGAATGGGACTAGCATGAATCACAGCTGCTTCACCCATACCTCCTTAAACCTTAAATCTGGGTCCTAATGATGCTGCTTGGCCTGCTGTGTTCATCCAGCCCTGCACCTTGTTGTCTCGGATTCTCCAGCATCTGTAGTTCCTACTACCCCTACAATAGCTGAAGGGCCTCAACTTGCATATTTAAATACCATCTCACCTTGTTTCTGTTCTTTGTACAGGGTGCCAATTTAAAGACACATCTGAAAATTAACTGAAGCAGATATATGGATGTAAAAGGTTCCTCCATCAGAATTTTAGTGGCCAATTATCTGTTTTACTGAGTAGAAACAGGCAAAAGGCTGTTGTAGGCCTGCACCTCAATAATAGGCTCACTCAGAACATCATCCACCAACTGAGCTGACCCATCCACACTATTTCCTTGGTATGACCCTGCACCCCTTGTGTTATCAAAAATATATTTCAACTTTTCTTTCTTAAACTCATTAAGGACCAACTAGCCATGCGCATAATTAGTTCTATACATACAGCCCTTTCAGCAAAAGTATTCTTCTCGTATATCCTACTTTCTTTGGGCTCTTTAATTTGTAACTGTTTGTGTTTAAATTCTGTACATGGCAGGAAAGCTTAATTAGATCCTATTTGTCAAAACATTTCTTGACTTTTAACACACCATATCCTCACTGCCATTCTAGTTGAGCTCATAGGCCAACATGGGCCACATATTGACACTGGACATTTCTCGTTCTACAGGCTGAATTTTATTATCCTTTTAGCGAAGGATTAGGAGGTGGGATGGTTGACAAAATGATATAGGAAAGCACTGGACGGCATGCTTGCAGTCTTTCCGCCACAATGCCATTTGGTCAGTTGTTGGAAGTATAGCAGAGCAGCTGCCCACTTTAAGTAAAATGAATAATTAATGGCCACTTCCTACTTCCACGAACATTTTGTCAGTAACTCTGAGACTGGGAGTGGTCAGACTGTCCAGTGTGGCCTGGTGGCTTCCCAACAGACCGTGTAGGAAACAGCTTCAATTTTTGACACTTCATGTTCCAAAGTGGCACCTGTATGACAGTGCCTGCTCTCACAACAACAGCACCATTTGTCCAGCCTCCTGCCACACCCATCTCCTTGGCCCACCCCTGACAATGGCCAGGGCCTGATTGTCAGTCCTAACTACCCGCAATTCCACTCACTCATCTTTGAATGTACCAACCACCCCATCTATCACTAGCAGTGGTATTGCTGAATCCCTGATTGCACAAACAACTCCTGGAATGGGCCACTGTCTTTAGCAGGATGGCTGCCCAAACAGCCCCAAAAACACCTGTAGACCTGTCTGCCGGTGCCTGATGAAGTAGGGCTGGCCCCCACTTTCTAACCTGACAGCTGGATTTCTGCTGTCTCTGCAAAATTCTTACCTATTTTTTAATAACAGGGCGAACAGTGCAATAGCTCAATGAAGTCTGCTTTTTTCCCAATCAAGTACTGTTAAGTTAATTCAGGTACAAAGCAGCAATTCCAGGAATGAACATTAATAAAATCTTGTTTCAGGGTCTAAATCTAGGGGATGCCAGTGTAAAACTTCAAGGCTAATCCATAAGACATTTCCTGTGTAATGAGACTCCAGTGAATTAGATCCACTGGCCTACACCACAGCTTGTGCAAGGGAATGGCTTCCTGAATAATGAAAGACTGAAACAAATTACGTTCATGAGTCTCGTAGTACCAGCTAGTAGATCGAGGTAAAAAACACAAAGTAAATCAACCACTAATGTTAACTATTACTGTAATAAAATCCAGTGACCATCATTTGGCATAAAAATGAAACACGTAGATATCACGTCATTTCTTTTGAATCAGGCGCATCTGAATCCAGTTCAAAATGAATGCACATCTGGATACTGCAGAACATCTAAGTCACCTCAGTGTGACCTATGATTGTTCTCCCTGCTGCGAGAACAGTCTTTTGAAAGGAATTAGAATGGCTAGAAACAGATTGTCTTTTTTGCCATTTACAATCTCTGCATTACTCTTTATTATATAAGGACAGTTAAATAATTCTAGATTTATATCTAACTTACAGATATATGCCATAATTGATTTGTAAAGAGATTTTTAAAAATAAATTGATCTGAATTGATTCTGTCCCAAACACTGCAACAGGTATATACACTTTACACTCTTGTTATGGATGCAGATCAATCAAAACAAGTTCAAAAACATTTACAGCTATTTGGAAATTTGTTTTTATTGCCTAAGAATAATGATTTAAATGCTGCACACAAATAAAATATCTAATTATAACACAAATGCAAAAGAAGGAAAACAGTTTGAATAATATATAAATATACAGTCTATTGAAAGTGAAATCTAGAAAAAATTCACTTCATATAGCCTAAAAAACTGTACTTTTTATTACTCTGCAAATTAAATGCTTTTGACGTTTCTGGATGGACTGAACAGTGCTGCTGTCAAGTGGCTGGATATTTTTTTTATCCCACTTTTGACAGAGCCTGAAACCAAATTAGGGCTGTTTAAAGTAGCACATAGCAATTTTTGGAAGGTTCTTTTGAAATAAAAACAATACAGCCACTGCCTTAGCCAGGCAAAGGCAGGACTTCATTATTCTGGAAATTATGGACAACTTTTATCGATGCGTAAAATGAAGGATTAAACTAAGCCACCCTCCTACTCAAGAGCAAACAACAACCTTCTATGATTGTCACATACATAACAAAAGACTTCTCAAAACTACGAATCAAATACATCACACACAAAGGAAAAATAATTCAATATTTTAACTGCATTTTAAATTTTATTTCTTTTATAAGAACTACTACCTCACATGTTACACGCCTAAAATATAAAATGAACGTAAATTTTAAAAGAGAAGAGTCATGAAAATATGTTGGCCTGGTTACTGTTCTAAGAATTCTGCTGCTGGGAACATGACAAGACTTCCTTTGATGAGTGTGCCATGGGCTCCTGCAACTTCCTTCTCGGTCATTTCCTTGAATAAAAAAAAATCCCCAGCTTACAGAGCTACCTCCTTCATCTATCATTGATCGAGTATCAAAACATACAACCATGAAATCACCGAACAGCAAAACAGGCACAAAAAGCTTTGTATTTACCTTTTTGGCTTGCTGTACAGAGCGAGAGCGAGGGCCAAACCCCATCTGTGGCATGGACAGCAGCATCTTTACAGTCCTTGGTGCCACACAGTCCAGTCACACGAGTAAGATTATGTTGCACAGGAAGCAAGCCTCAAACAGCAAATCTGCAAATCAGCCTGTTTGTGGGGGAGCACCACATAACTCACTGCTGCACAGAGAGAGTCACTGGCAGATCAGTCAGTAGGCCTTAGTTTTGGGAGGAGTCTGAAAAACCACAGGGCAGAGGGAGGAGGCAAATTGAGATCACATTAATGAATGAATGGCATTTTGCCTCAGGCTCTCATGTCTCTACAGGGTGCACCAAGTAAAGCAAAAAGGAATAAAAACAGAATTCTTTGTATACTCTATGAAAATTACCAATACAAACAACTTTCTTAAATTGATATTCTTAAAAGAAACTAAATAAGGATGATAAATATCACAACAATCTAAGGATGACCGTGTGCAACCAGAGTACACAAAGTGCCTCAATATTTAAAATGTGCAAAGGTGCAAACTTAAAGAAAAGATCTATAAAGCATTAGGGAGGTTAAAATTTAAAGAAAACTATTTAATATTCTAATATAACAAGGTAAATCATTCAGACACAGAACATTTTTACTGGCCAGATTGCTGATTAATCATTAAGGAATGAAGTTAAAACTGAATTATTGAGGTGAGTAATCAAAACAGAAACTAGCAAACATGAAGGAAACCTGCTTCAGTACTTGTACCAGGGTAAGATCAGGTAACTGGTGAGGATCTGAGTATTGCTAATGAGATACCCTGCTGGCACTAACTCACCGAACTTAAAAAAGCAGAGATATAGACAACAGGAACAGGCTGTTAGTCTCAGGAGCCTGTTCCACCACTGAATTTGATGATTGTTGATATGTATGTCAAATCTATCTACAGGATTTTGTTCCTCGTCCCTTGACATCACGACCCAACAAAACCATCATTCTCACTGTTGAAAATTTCTATTGACCAGTATCCACGGACATCCTTAGATTGTTGTGATATTTATCATCCTTATTTAGTTTCTTTTAAGAATATCAATTTAAGAAAGTTGTGAAACGTGAAACGGTTCCAGATTTGCCATTCACTTTGTATGAAAAGAATAATTCCTGATTTCAATCTTAAAGCAATAATTAATGGCAGAGTGATTGAACATAGGGATTTGTTTTAGTTAATCACTGGGAATCAACATGGATTCGTAAAGAGTAGGCCACTCCTGTTGAACCTGACTGAATAGTTTTGAAAAGGTGACAAAAGTTATGAACTGGAAATGTCTATGAAGGTCATTGATATGAGTAACGGCAGGCATTTGATAAAATTCATTACTAGACACTGTAAGCTAAAGTTGATCATGAAAACAAATTATTGACCTTGTTTGGAAATCACCTGAGGGCGAAAAACAGAGAAAGGCTAAGGGACAAGTACTCTAATTGGCAGGTTGTGCCCAGTGTTGTTCTTCAAGGATCTGTGTTGTTACCTTAATTATTCACCCAAACAAGTAAAGAAGTTAGAGATAGTAGGAACTGCAGATGCTGGGGAATCCGAGACAACAAAGTGCAGGGCTGGATGAACACAGCAGGCCAAGCAGCATCATTGGAGCAGAAAGGCTGACGTTTCGGGCCTAGACCCTTCATCAGAAAAGGGGGAGGGGAAAGGGGTTCTGAAATAAATAGAGAGAGAGTGGGAGGCGGATAGAAGATGGATAGAGGAGAGGATAGGTGGAAAGGAAACAAACAGGTCGAAGAGGCGGGGATGGGGCCAGTAAAGGTGAGTGTAGGTGGGGAGTTAGGGAGGGGATAGGTCAGTCCAGGGAGGACAGACAGGTCAAGGGGGCGGGATGAGGTTGGTCGGTAGGAGATGGGGGTGCGGCTTGAGGTGGGAGGAGGGGATACGTGGGAGGAAGAACAGGTTAGGGAGGCGGGGACGAGCTGGACTGGTTTTGGGATGCAGTAGGGGAAGGGGAGATTTTGAAGCTTGTGAAATCCACATTGATACCATTGGGCTGCAGGGTTCCCAAGCAGAATATGAGTTGCTGTTCCTGCAATCTTCGGGTGGCATCGTTGTGGCACTGCAGGAAGCCCAGGATGGACATGTCGTCTGAGGAATGGGAGGGGGAGTTGAAATGGTTCGCGACTGGGAGGTGCAGTTGTTTATTGCGAACCGAGCGTAGGTGTTCTGCAAAGCGGTCCCCGAGCCTCCACTTGGTTTCCCTGATGTAGAGGAAGCCACACCAGGTACAGCGGATGCAGTATACCACATTGGCAGATGTGCAGGTGAACATCTGCTTGATGTGGAAAGTCTTCTTGGGGCCTGGGATGGGGGTGAGGGAGGAGGTATGGGGGCAGGTGTAGCACTTCCTGCGGTTGCAGGGAAAAGTGCCAGGTGTGGTGGAGCTGGAGGGGAGTGTGGAGCGGACAAGGGAGTCACGGAGAGAGTGGTCCCTCCGGAAAGCAGATAAGGGTGGGGAGGGAAAGATGTCTTTGGTGGTGGGGTCGGATTGCAGATGGCGGAAGTGTCGGAGGATGATGCGTTGGATCCGGAGGTTGGTGGGGTGGTACGTGAGGACGAGGGGGATTCTTTTTTGGTTCTTACTGCGTGGACGGGGTGTGAGGGATGAGTTGCAGGAGATGTGGGAGACACGGTTGAGGGCGTTCTTGACCACTGAGGGGAGGAAGTTACGGTCCTTGAAAAACGAGGACAACTGAGATGTACGGGAGTGGAATGCCTCAGCCTGGGAGCAGATGCGGCGGAGGCGAAGGAATTGGGAATAGGGGATAGCATTTTTGCAGGAAGGTGGGTGGGAGGAGATGTATTCTAGGTAGCTGTGGGAGTCGGTGGGCTTGAAATGAATATCGGTTTCTAGGTGGTTGCCCGATATGGAGACAGAGAGGTCCAGGAAGGGGAGAGAGGATGATTAGCTAAAAAGTAACATATATAAATTTGTTGACACAATGATAAGTGAGCATAGAGTTAAAAGGCTGTACTGCACAGAAAGAGACCCTTCGGTTCAACTCGTCCATGCTGACCAGATATCCTAAATTAATCTCGTCTTATTTGCTGGCATTTGGCCCATATCCCTCTAAACTCTTCCTATTCATGTATCCATCCAGGTGCCTTTTAGATGTTGTAATTGTACCAGCCTCCCCCACTTCCTCTGGCAGCTTATTCCATAAATGTACCACCCTCTGTGTGAAAAAGTTGCCACGTAGGTCCCTTTCAAATCTTTTCCCTCTCACCTTAAACCTATGCCCTCTAGGTTTGGAATCAGCCACCCGAGGGAAAAGACCTTGGCTATTCACCCTATCCATGCCCCTTATGATTTTATAAACCTCTATCAGGTCACCCCTCAGCATCCGACCCTCCAGGGAAAATAGCCCCAGCCTATTCAGCCTCTCTCTATAGTTCCAATCCCTGAACCCTTTCAAGTTTCACAACATCTTTCCTATAGCAGGGAGATCAGAATTGCATGCAAAATTCCAAAAGTGGTCTAATCAAGGTCTTAAACAGCCACAACATGACATCCCAACTTTTATACTCAATGCACAGGTATAGTAAACAGTATAAATAGAAGCATAAAATAAAAAAAATACAAATAGATTATGTGAGTGAATAAAATCATGGCAAATAGATTTCAATGTAGGTAACTGTGAAGTCATGCGCTTTGGAATTAAAGTGGATAAAATTGTCTAAATAGAGTCATAGTCATAGAGTCATACAGCAGAAAACAGACCAACCAGTTCATGCTGATCATCATTCCAACTAAACTGGTCCCACCTGCCTGCATTTGGCCCATATCCTTCCAAACATTTCTTATTCGTGTACTTATCCAAATGTCCCTCCATGTCCAGCAACATTTCTGAAAGATCTCCAACTTAATAGTAATATAACAGGGCAACCAGAACTGCACACTGTGTTCCAGAACAGGCCTCCCCAATGTCCTATGCAACTTCAACATGACATCCCAACTCCTTAACTCACAGGTCTGAGCAATGAAGGCAACCTTGCTAAGCGCCTTTTTAACGATCCTGTCAACATGTGACACAAACTTTAAAGAATCATGTAGCTGAACCCCTAGGTCTCTCTGTTCTACAACACTACTCAAGGCCTTACTTTTAATTGTAAAAATCCTGCCCTTGTTTATTTTATCAAAATGCAATACCTCACATTTATCCAAATTAAACACTTCCTGCCACTCCTCAGCCCATTGACCTAATTGTAATTTTAAATAACCTTCTCCGCTGTCCACTATACCACCAATTTTGGTGTCATCCACAAACTTATAAGCATACCTTTTATATTCTCAACCAAAGCATTTTTATAAATGACAAACAAAATGCAGAAAATCTAGAAACAGTGCAGGTTCAAAGGTGCTTGAGAGTCCATTAATACTGAGTTTTAAAATGTCAAATGCAAGTCTAGTAAATAATTTAAAAAAGTGAATGGAATGCTGGCTTTTATATCTAGACAACTAGAATACAACAAGATAGAATTTATGTTACAAGCTATACAAAACCCTGGTGAGACCACACCCAGAATACTCTGAGGATTACTGGGCATCATAGGAAGAAGATACCTTCTTTGTAGACAAGCCAATAGGATCATCTCAGCAAACCCAGGGGGCAACAAACACTGAACTGCCTTTCAGGTCTTTCTCTCGGCCTATAAAAACTGTTTATTTCTGTCTGTCCTTATGTATGTGTAGGGGGGACGTATAAAGGGGTTAGTGTTTTAACTAATAAAGGTATATGCCAATGGTTCATAACTGTTCACGTGCAGCATGGGTCTATTTATTTGTTATAATGATTTCTTTTATGTACCGAATCCTGGTCTGTGCTTTCAGTCAACTTGCGTCTAAATTCAAATAAATCGGTGAAATTCTGCGTACGTTTAAAAATCTTTAATTTTTGTGATGACGCTGGGAATAGCGGAGTTTGATTTCCAGCATGTGACCCCTATGAGCAGAATACACCCAGATTTCTTCCACCCCAAAATTAATCTTTTTGCATACACTCTACATACGAGCCAGGCCCCTTCACTCTTCTCAGCCACAGCATGTAATAATCGCATTAGTCGTCAAACTTAATGAGGTTTATAAAATCATGAGGGTGGTAGATAAGGTGAATTACAGGGATCTTTTCTCTAGTCATTGGATTAGGAGTTGTGAGCTTGTAATGTGCATCTAAAATGTTTATG